AACATTAAAATCAATACTTCTAACATTTGCAATTCTATTTCTCTAACCCAATCTGAGGAAACTATTTCATGCCTTCTTCTCAGTCCTCAAAGGCAACATCTCCTCCACTGTCTTTATACTGAACTGGTGACCTTACTTATTTCACTAAACAGAAGCAATCCAAAGAGGACTTCCAGTCTCCCAACACCACACCTACCACCCACCTATACCCATCAGCACTCACATACTCTACTGTCTCTCCTGTTTTGATGGATGAACAATCCTGGCTTGCCAAAAACCAGCTTCTTCTCCTGCCCACTAGACCCCATCCACTCTCAAGAAAATTGCTCAGCAATTGTCCTCCCCCTCCCCCAAATTTTCATTTTTTTCCCTCTAGATAATTCCCGTCAGCATACAAACACCTTGCTATTTCTCCAGTCAAAAACAACTTGTATGCCTTTTCTCCCCGGCTGCCACCCCGTTCCTACCTGGGCCGTTCTCTCTTATACTCATTGGGCTTTTCCACCCACCATTCTACCGAACCCACGTTCATGAACAACACCAACTCCCTGCATGTTGCCACCTCCACCTGACCTGACCTATCAGAAGCTGCATATGACAGAGTCGATCCTCTCTTATTCTTGTAAAATGCTCTGCTCACCTGTTTCACCGGTCTTGTTTTCCTTTTTCCTACGTATTCGGTCACTCATTCTTATGTCCTTTACCGGCTCCTTTCCCCTGAAGGTAGTACCCTAAGCACTGAAGTACCCCAGGGCTCAGCCCTCAGACTTCTCTTTTACACTCACAATCACTCCCTTGGTGAGCTTATCTGTCTCCTGGCTGAAATGCTATCTTTGTGCTGATAATTCCCAATTTTCTATCTTCAGCCCACATCCCTCTCCTGAATCCAGGCCCACAAAGCCAGTGGCCCACTCAACATGTCCCCCTGAATGCTTCACATGCACCTCAACTTCAACATTTACAAACCTGAGCTGATTACCTGACCCCCTAAATTTGTGGATATGAACAACAGCTTTGCTCTGAGGTAAAAAGTGTGTGATAAATTGAGAAACAGTCCAAGAGTGAAAGAGAAGGGTAGTTCATGTAGCTATACAGTATACGGGTGGGGCTGACTTCCATCCCCCATAGGCATGGGCAGGTGACCTAGGTCTGGCCATCAAGAGTACACCATGCCCTGACCACAATGACTGGTTCAGGCATAGGCAAATGATCCAAAGGAGATCAGTGAGAGTTCTCCCAAGGACTTTTCTGACAGAACTATGAAGACTGTCTCAGTCCACTGGGGTTGCTCAACTGTTGGTAAATCTAGGATGGCAAGAGGCTATCTCACTTACCATATTGAGAGAGCACACCAAGGGATGGAGACAGAGCCCAGATGATACTGTGTGAGCAACCTTTGCCCACCCCATCCAGCTGTGCCTGCGGCTAAACTCCCCTGGAATTCTTTATATCAATGTATTCCTCTTTTGTACTTTAGCAAATTTCTGTCACTTGGAACTGCAAGGATCCCAACCAATATAGGATGGCATTTACCTATGGAGTCCCTGGGATCTTAGCTTACGTGCTAAGGTTGGAGGTTCGAGTCCACCCAGAGGTGCCTCAGAAGAAAGGCCTGGTAATCTACATCCCCAAAAATCAGACCTTGAAAACTACGGAGCACAGTTCTACTCTGACACACATGGGGTCGACGTGAGGCGGGGTCAGACTGATGGCAACCTTTTTTTCTGTTTGCCTGCACTTCTCTGGTTTACAGTCACCAGGGCCAAAACACACAGACAACAACGAGTAAAGGAACTGAGCTCAGTTCCATGGATCTACTATATGCCTAGGCGTTCCATTCATTCCTACTTCAGACTTGGTTACAATAGATTACTTATACAGCTAAGCCTGATACCAACAATTAGTTTTACTTCTTGCTCCTCAACTCTCTTGATATCTGTATGACACTGCTGAAACAAAGCCAGAAACTGCTGAGAGTAGTCACGAGTAAGCTTCTGCCTGTAAAACATAATAATGAGCACTGTCATGTTTCATACCAATATGAAAAAATAAACACATTCAAAGCAAAATCGACATAATTTATACTACAAAAGAAGAAGGGAATAGCAGCAGCTTAAGTCTTCTGACAGGAAACTGAGGCGTAAAATGAATGATTTACCGATTCCAAACCTATTTTTTTTTTCCTAACAGGATAATAACCCCGTTGCAATCGAGTCGGTTCCGGCAACTCATAGCGACCCTATAGGACAGAGTAGAACTGCCCCACAGGATTTCCAAGGAGCGCCTGGTGGATCTGAACTGCTGACCTTTTGATTAGCAGCTCTTAACCACTTCACCACCAGGGTTTCCAACAGGATAATAGAGAAGCTATTTCATATACTATAGCTCTTGAAAACTAAGAGAGTTTTAGTGTATACATAATTTTTCCAGAAAAATTAAGTTTATCTCCAAGCAGTTTAATCTTCATGTTCTTTTAATGAATAACCTATGAGTTCTGATATGATAAATAGATCCAATGAGGTTATTATATGTGTTTATTGGGTAAGACTTCCAAACACGACTATTTCACTTAGCTTTTTTCCCACTTTGCCATAATAAACTGTACAAAAGAATGTATAACCCAATTCAGCTAAAACATACAAATTATAAGATTGGCCTTTTACCACTCTGTTGAATATAGTTAACACTCACAAGACTAATAGTTTAGGACATTTCCCTTCTATTCAGTTAGTATATTTCAAGAATGAATACAAATTACTTGTATATTTCTAGAATGAATACAAATGACTTTTATAGTAGGAACTCTAAATTGTTACCCTAAAAGGTGGGGGAAGAAGATAATATTTATTGACTTCTCGGAAACAGACCCAATTCTATGAAGGAATGAGGTTATAAGAGTAAAGAACTTATTTGCTTAGAGAATAATCAAGCCAAATCCATTTTCACTAGAGACTCCAATAAATAGAAAATAATTGTATTTTCCTTAAGTCATTTGCATCCAGAAATACTAAGAAATGATACAAATGTTGTAGCTCTAAAAAACCAACAAACTTACCATTGCTCTTTTTGGGTTTTCCAAACATGTTCAATGTTTTGGTTACTGCTTTTGACAGAATCACTGGTATTCATGTCAAATCTTCTCTTTGCAATAAGAGCTTTTTTAATGTCAGCTGTGTTGAAAATAAATATTAATTTATATTTAATGTTAAAATTATTTAGTTTCCACATATTCAAATCAATACTGGTAATTGTGGGTCAGCAATATTAGAAAGACATTTATAATTTAAAAATAGGCATCATTAAAAAAAAGGTTATTTATTTCCCTCCCCCTCCTTCTTTTTTCTTTTCTATGAACACTTTAGTTACCAGTTTCCCAATTCTAATTTTTCTAACATAAGATCATTTTTAAATTTAGGATGGTAAACCCAAAAAACCCAGTGCCGTTGAGTCAATTCCAACTCATAGAGACCCCACAGGGTTCCCAAGGCTGTAAATCTTTACAGAAGCGGACTGCCACATCTTTCTCTTGCAGAGGCACTGGTGGGTTCGAACCATGGACCTTTCCAATAGCAGTGGAGCACTTTAACTACTGTGCCACCAGGCCTCCTAGAGATGACAAAAGGGGATAATAATCAAAACATTTTGTCTTATCCAGAATGTGTATAAAGGGTCACAAGGACAGACTTAACTTCCTAATGAGAAAAAAGGTATAAAGGTTTTATTTTTCTAAATTGATAAAAATATCCTCCAATTCAAAGGACACATTTAGATGGAATACTGTTAAGAATCAGTATATAACCAAAAACCAAATCCCCTGCTGTCAAGTCGATTCCGACTCATAGAGACTGTCATGGATTGAATTGTGTCCCTGAAAAACATGGGTCAACCTGGCTAGGATCCTCCATTTTGTGATCTGATGTAATTATTCTATTATCCCCCATTTTGTGTGTTGTAAATCCTGACCTCTATGTGTTATTGAGGCAGGATTAGGGTGGGATGTATCCTGAGTCTCCACCCTTCACTGCTGTTCCTCAAGCCACGCCCTTGCTTGAGTCACACCTTTTATCTTACAAGAGATAAAAGAAGAGAGAAGCAAGCAGAGATAGGGACCTGACTACCACCAGGAAAGAAGAGCCAGAAACTCTTTGGATCTGGTGTCGTCGCGCCGAGAACCTCTTAGACCCAGGGGAAGATTGATGCCAAGACAAGGAACTTCCCCAGAGCCAACGGAGAAAGAAAGCCTTCCCCTAGAGCTGGCGCCCTGAATTTGGACTTCTAACCTCCTAAACTGTGAGAGAATAAATTTCTGTTTGTCAAAGCCATTCACTTGTGGTATTTCTGTTATAGCAGCACTAGATAACCAAGACAGCAACCCTATAGGACACAGTAGAACTACCCCAAGTAGAACTACTCCAAGGCTGTAAATCCTTATGTAAGCAGACTGCCACATCTCTCTCCCACAGAATGGCTGGTGGGTTCGAACCGCCGACCTTTTGGTTGGCAGCTGCGTGCTTTACCACTCCACCACCAGGCCTCCTCCATTATATAACACACATGAAATTATTCTATTAAGAAGTTCCCAAGTAGGATAAAACAATTAAATCTAAGAATACGATTTTTAAGAATCTAGTCAGTGATGCCTTTAAATATATTTTACGGAAAGGAACAGAGGCCATAGAAAAATTCTAGTTTAAGTAAATAAATTAATTAATTCAAGAACTCCGTGGAGCTGTTTATATGACGTTTTTACCTGTAAGTGTTTCACTTCATACAATGTTTAACACTCTGCTGAGCATATGATTTTATGTCCCCCCTCACCTCTATCATCAGCAGTTATTTATCAGTAATCATGAAGGCACTCTACTATTATATAAAACATTATAGAAATATTTTATACTTGCAGCATCTACCTATACAGTCCACTGAATCACATTTCCCATTATCCAAGTTATATGATTTAAAACAATTTTGTTTACATGCTAGTATCTCTTAAATCTTACCTCCAAATCTTTCCAACATATTCTGTACTTCATCCCTGTGAAGAAATTACATGAACAATTTTTAATTAAGGACGTAAAAAAATGGCATGATTGTTTGAGAAGAAATACCTCATGCTGACTCTTTTAGATACAATACTTGCTAAATGAACCAAAGTAGACTTTTCTTAAAGTACGTGACCTGATGGGCAAACATTGCTTGAACACATTACCCCACTTCCTCCTCCACTGGTCCTGCATATGGCCTTTTTCTTCCATTCTTATCAGTTACTGGAGTCTTTCCTTCATTGAAAAGAAAAACATTTTTAACTTAAGTATGCTATACTGGTAATTTTTAGTGGTGTCATAGCTACATTTTGGAGGCTTTTGGGCTTTTTGCCAACATAAGATTTTAAAGTAAATTTTAAAAAATGAAAAAAAAAAAAAGGAGAGTGTGCCCTATGTGCCACACTTGCCTGTACCTTCTCTTTTTGTCATAGGTTCCCATTTTCGGATCCTGCATAGTGCGTCTCCTAGGTCTCCCCACTCCCTTTCTTCCAGTGGATGCCATAATTAGATTCTGTTTGCTGACTTAAAAAACAGATCACTTAAACTTTCTGAGTTCAACCACGCTATTTAAACAAACGGGTAACTTTTCATAGCAGAGATAACGCACAAGGGTCGTCTTGGTTAAATAACAAGGTTTGAAGGCTCCTTATTTCTTTTGTTAGACCCAGAGGTGACAAAGGTGACAATGACAGGGTCAACCCTGACTCCACACTGGGACATGTGAGTTTTGGTCCTGCTTCTGGCAGATTCCAGCTGGCTAAAGAGGGCAGATTCATGTCACAAAGTGACAACGTGACAGCTGGGAGGCCGCCCCCAAGCAGTCCAGAGAGAAGTCTGAAGCAACAGAGACTTGCTGCCACTTTGCTACAGAGAATGAACTCCCACACAGGCCTTCACAACATCTCCAAGGGACAAACATGGGGCCCTTGGTCACTTGTCATGGTCCCTGAGGGGACAAAGCCCCCTCCCTCCCCGCCCGCACATCTGTCCTCCCTCCACTTCCCCTGCACCTGTTTACCCCCATCCCCCCTCCCCATCCTCGTCCTCCCTCCCCTACTCCTCTCCCTGGTCTTCTTCTCCCCTTTCCCACACCTATCCTCCCTCCTCCCTCACCTGTCATCCATTCCCTCCCCCTTAACTTGTCCTCCCTCCCAGCGCCCCTCACCTGTCCTCCCTCTCTGCCCCCACACCTGTCCTCTTCCCCCCTCTTCTGTCTCCCTCCATCCTCCCTCTCCTGTCCTCCTTCCCTCCCCGCTCTCCTGTACCACTCCCTCCCCCCTTCCATTCTCCCTCCCCTCCCTACCCCATCCCCTTTCCTCCCCCTCTCCTGTCCCCCCTCCCTCTCC